AAATTTTTCACGTCGCACTTCATCACCACACAGTGATCCTACAGGAAGCTGTGCCACCATCTCGTTCGCTTTTTCACTTTTCACAAAGAGAACAAAAGTTATTAGCTAAGTCCGCTGAGATCCAGTTGCACTTGTACGGCTTTTACCAATACAACTAAATCCTTGACGACCGTTTTAATTGATATTGAGGCCAAGAAAATAGTGAGAGCCTATGACGAAAACCCGATTTGCTTGCTCCCTTCTATTGATCCGCTTGTAAGGAAATTGGCACACGGAATCCGCTATATTAATCAATGAGTGGATTCTAAGACTTTATTGTCCCCAGATACACGACAGCTGCTAGCGGCTCGATAACTGTATCAAATATTAAGATATTGTCTTAATTACATCTTTGAAGCAAATGAATTTGTGGTCTCTCTCTCTCTCTCTTTTTTTTTTTTTTTTTTTTTTTTTTTACGTAAGACATAGTTTTAATGAGCCATAAAGGCTAAATGTGCATGTGTGATTGAAGTGGGTGGGTGGGTGGGGGTGGGGAATGGGGGTCGGAAAATGAATAAGTGCCGATGTCACATTGTCATTCCATAAAACTGCGCATGACCTCTTATTCACAGGCCAGGTTGATTTTTTTTAAAGCTTGGACGTTTTACTTTACAAAGTGTAAGAAAAAGCAATATATGGAAGAAAATCAGTACTATAATAGAAAGAAACTTTGGCCAAAGTTTTTGAAATCGCGAGATTTCTGAAGTCCCAATTACAGTTAACAATAAGGAGGAAATGCCAAAGACAAAACTAAAAACTTTGTATGGTTCCAACGGGTACAAATGGAATCGTTCAGATTAGGGTTCGTAGGACAGTACGATAATTTGATTTTTTTTTAATTCAAGAAAAAAATTTAACTTCTATGAAGTGAGATTATTGGGAAAAAATCTCAACAATATTTTAAAATATCCCAGTAACAAGGAAAGTTAGGCTAGCGACGTGAGTGTTACCTCTACCTGAGGTGTGCAATAAGCTGAAGCTGCGATGAAATCGACACGAAGGACACTGAAATATATCGGAGTGCAAAAATTGGCTTGGTTTTATTATTGATAAAGCAGACTGTTACTTTGAATAAGTCGTAAAACACCTGATGGAGTTCTTGGAACTTTAAAAGTAATAGATTACTAGCTTGTTCATCTGCAAAGTGTTCTGGGAACTATTCTATTTTTGAAAAAAAAATATAATAATAATAATCCAAGGCAGTTCCTTACAGAAAACTAATTCAGGAGAACTAACCGGTCCTTTATCTTTTTGTTGAATAATAAACTATTATACCAGACTTAACCAGTTCTTTATCTTTATATATCAAATGTAGTCCATTTATCAAAATACATCGTATTTACAAAATAAGAGTAAATGAATATAATAAAATACAAGTATTTAAGAAAGAAATTACCATTCGTATGCAAATGAGATCAAAGGGTTATGTTCGGTCGACAATCTAACCTGCCACTTTTCACTAGATGCTGATTATACAAGGTTAACATATCCGTACTGTTCGAGATGACTTTAGAAACGTGTTACCCCTATATGAGTTTCACAATTCATTGTTTAACACTAAGTTCTTCATCTTAGCTACATGTATATCAAACGTTTTTTACAAGGACACGATGCTATTAAAGCAAGTTATGGTCTGTGTTATCTTCAGCAGTATTTATAATTTTCAGTGGTAATATTGGACTTTCATTTATCTTTGTACAAAGTCCACCGGTATCGTATATAAAAAAATTACTGTAAAAAAAGGATGGATATGACATTTACTGTCTGNTGTGTGTGTGTGTGTGTGTGTGTGTGTGTAAAAATTAATCCGAACAGTCTGTGATTAGTGTTCTTGAAATTCTTATAGGCATAATTCTTTTCTGTTGCCATTTTTTTCTTTATATTAATGACTATATTCCAGGAAACCAATCAATTCATTATTGTGTTCATTACTTTTTAATAACATAACGTTTTATCGGGTTATATGCTTGTTTTGAGGTTAACATCATTTGCAGCGTATACGATAAGTGACGGCATGAATTTTAATATAATTGCACCAGCTGTTACAAGAAGCAATTGCTGTTCAAGCTCAACTGATACATTACTTTGCTTGACTGGTGTTAGGAAACCGAAGGACCAGGTATCGGAGAGTTCAGGATACTGTAGAGTTGTCCTCACACATTCTGAGATTGTCTCGTCTCTGTTAAATCACGTGGCCTTAACACACTTAAGGTTCTTTTGTTAACAGCTCTTTGTTGAAAAGGACCAATGATATAGCTGGAAATCGTCACATCCCAACCCGTTTCTATTCCATTCCAGTTATACAGTTATACTATTTAAAACTATAAAGTAGTATTTGGTTGGGTTTACCAGCAATGGTTTGACAAACGTACTACTTCGCATACTTTAGAATACTGCATAGTCTTTGACACAAGTATAGGTTTTACACTATTTGTAATGCCAAGGATCCTGAAAGATTGACAATTACAAAATCGAAACATTTACAAAAGGTAATTTATTCAACTATTTGGAAGCATAGCTATCATGGAAATCCCCCTTGTTGTACATAGCAATAAACGTAATATTGCATAGTTATCAAATCTAATCAATAATATGCTATTTTCTTACACGCAAATTCCTACCAATTCCTATTAAAAATTCAATTCACCGCCGCAAATGTCTCAGTTACTTAAAATGGCAGGGCGAACGTTTTCTTAATATCTCTTTTTCATTTGTTAAATATTTCCGCTGGAATTCTCCAAATGTCTCCGAGTACTTTTAGACATTCTACCGGCAGAAATGTGGATAACTTTCAGACGTTCAAACCGAGGACAAAGAAAGATACACGCAACGTGATCATGAAACAGCGGAAATCCAGCAATGTCTGTATTCCACGCAACCATTAAGTCTATCTCGATCGATCTCCATGTGCACAAGGTGCGTGAAGGTACACTCAGTCGACTAAGCACGTGCTGAAGATTTGGATGATGATGAAAAACCACGACTGTTTCTTCTCCTGTTTATAAATGGAAAGCTCAAAATTGTCTCTATCCAAACCTCATTTGTTTATGCTTTAAGTCCTATGCTTTTATGTCCCCTGTCTCTCCCAGTAGTATCTGTTTTGCTGGAAATACTTGTATTGATATTACTATTGATTTTCATAGCTGAGCCCTGGGGGCGATCACAAAGCGTGTTGTTTCTTTGCATGGTTCGAGTTGTACTTCTACATAAAGGTGGTTGTGACTTCAATGTTAGTTCTTGTTTTTTCACAGGCAGTGTCTCTTCCATATGCTACCACGAGGTGCATTTTAGCTTTGTTAGGAAAACTTTGTCAAAAAAAAGTATGCAAACCTCACTCTTTCTAAAGCTCATTTTCTACATGTACCTAGTCTCTAATCTACAAGTTCTCTCGACTTAATGCAAGTGTAGCGAAGAGAGCGCTCCTCGGCGAAATTCAGAGAACAAAAACTGCAGGTGCATCAGCTGCAGCGCATTTTTCACCTGCCTCTGGCTTAACTTCAGGTCCCTTCACAGGTTCGGGGGTTTTGTCTGAAAGACGGAATCTCATGTAACCTAGCTTGTGGCACAGAAGGATGGCGAGCGTAGTGAGGACTGCCCCTGCGCCCAACAATCCAGGTCCGACGGTCCAACCAATATCTTTACTAAGGAACGCGTCTGCTCCAAGGGTGACGATCAGGCCTGCGACCAGGAACCAAAATCCAAAAAATCCGGCGATGAGACCCACAAATTTTTCACGTCGCACTTCATCACCACACAGTGATCCTACAGGAAGCTGTGCCACCATCTCGTTCGCTTTTTCACTTTTCACAAAGGGAACAAAAGTTATTGCTAAGTCTGCTGAGATCCAGTTGTACTTGTACGGCTTTTACTAACACACCTAAATCCTTGACGACCGTTTTAATTGATATTGAGGCCAAGAAAATAGTGAGAGCCTATGACGAAAACCCGATTTGCTCCCTTCTATTGATCCGCTTGTAAGGAAATTGGCACACGGAATCCGCTATATTAATCAATGAGTGGATTCTAAGACTTTATTGTCCCCAGATACACGACAGCTGCTAGCGGCTCGATAACTGTATCAAATATTAAGATATAGTCTTAATTACATCTTTGAAGCAAATGAATTTGAGGTCTTTGAGTTTCTTTGTGTTCTTTATTTCGACGTAAGACACAGTTTTAATGAGCCATATAGGCTTAATGTGCATGTGTGATCAAAGTGGGGGGAGGGGGAGTTCGGGAAATGAATGTCACATTGTCATTCCATAAAACTGCGCACGACCTCTTATTCACAGGCCAGGTTGATTTTTTTAAAGCTTGGACGTTTTACTTTATAAAGTGTAAGAAGGAGAAATATATGGAAGGAAATCAGTCCTATAATAGAAAGAAACTTTGGCCAATTTTTTTGAAATCTCGAGATTTCTGAAGTCCCAATTACTGTTAACAATAAGGAGGAAATGCCAAAGACAAAACAAAAAACTTTGTGTGGTTCCAACGGGTACAAAAGGAATCGTTCAGATTAGGGTTCGTAAGACAGTACGATAATTTGATTTTTTTAATTCAAGAAAAAAAATTAATTTCTATGAAGTGATATTATTGGGGGAAAATCTCAACAATATTTTTAAAATATCCCAGTAATAAGGAAAGTTAGGCTAGCGACGTGAGTGTTACCTCTACCCGAGGTGTGCAATAAGCTGAAGCTGTGATGAAATCGACACGACGGACACTGAAATATCGGAGTGCAAAAAATTGACTTGGTTTTATTATTCATAAAACAGGCTGTTACTTTGACTAAGTCGTAAAACAGCTGATGGAGTTCTTGAAACTGTAAAAGACTTAAATGGAAATGTAATAGATTATAAGCTTGTTCATCTGCGAAGTGTTCTGGGAACTATTCTATTTTTGAAAAAAAAAAATAATAATAATCCAAGGCAGTTCCTTACAAAAAACTAATTCAGGAGAACTAACCGGTCCTTTATCTTTTTATTGAATAATAAAATACTATACCAGCCCTAACCAGTTCTTTATCTTTATATATCAAATGTAGTCCATTTATCAAAATACATCGTATTTACAAAATAAGAATAAATGAATATAATAAAATACAAGTATTTAAGAAAGAGATTACCATTCGTATGCAAATGAGATCAAAGGGTTATGTTCGGTCGACAAACTAACCTGCCACTTTTTCACTAGATGCTGATTATACAAGGTCAACATATCCGTACTGTTCGAGATGACTTTAGAAACGTGTTATCCCTATATGAGTTTCACAATTCATTGTTTTACATCAAGTTCTTCATCTTAGTTACATGTATATCAAACGTTTTTTACAAGGACACAATGCTATTAAAGCAAGTTATGGTCTGTGTTATCTTCAGCAGTATTTATAATTTTCAGTGGTAATATTGGACTTTCATTTACCTTTGTACAAAGTCCACCGGTATCGTATATAAAAAAATTACTGTATATAAAAAAAAGGATGGATATGACATTTACTGTCCGGAATGAATCTGTAATTTTAGGCCAGGCAATGGCAGGTGCTAAGTGTCTTTGTTGCCATCATTCCTGCCATCTTTCAAACATGTTACTACTCTTCGATTACAGTCGGATGCCTGAGAAAAGCGACTTTTCTCTCTTGTGTAGTTGGCGGGGGAGGAATTGTCGCCATTTCACACGACACTTGTTCTTCGTAATAACAATGGCCTAAGTCCTCGTCGAACAGGTAACCTTGCGCGCAGTGGTATTGGAATTTCTTCCCGTCCAGACACAAGTAGAAGACGTGACACAGGCGCGCTCTATCGGCGTGATATCCGTTCTTTTTGCCTTCACAGCTGAACAGAAATTGGCGAGGTACGCCATGGGCTGGAACTCTCTTAAAGAGTTTGTGAAAATGGGTCTGAAGAAAACAGAAATTTTTAGCTTTACATTTTATTGGGAGTTCAAGAAAGTTGAAATATAATTGCACATAAATGTGTATAATCTACTTTGCACAAATCGTCTCTAGAGCAGCTCTGAAAGCAATTTATTTCCAACAATCATTTTGCAATTTTTAGAACGTGAATGTCACATGTTGTTCATTTCAACATGTCAGTCATGATTAATTTCGCACATTTGAGACAATCCCTTAATGTAGCTATCTTTTAACAGACTTTTATAACCTCATATCAAAAGTAACATAAAGGGAAAAATACCTCTCCACACACTTCTTGCGCTGCTATCACAATCACGGCACAAACTGAAAATTAAAAACACAACAATATACACCGAGAAAGTTAAACTAAAAGTTGCACATTCATTAACATGTGTTTATCTAAATGATTGTCTAAAATGTGAACCGAAATAAACGTGATTCCATCTCACATTTATAAAGATTTTACTATTGAAAAGTTACCTGAAGCAATGAGTAGCACAGTCTTCATCTTCAGTCGTGAGAGGTACGATTGGTAGAATACAGCTTATATGAAATGCTCAAGTCTTTACGATCTTTTATTTTATAGCAAAAACAGTCTTCCTTTTATAGCATTGTGTGACAAAACGCCTTTAAAAACACATTTGTGGTTTGTTTTAGCAAATAAAATTTAGTCAGGTAATAAATAAATGTGATACCTGACAAGTGAAAACTTTACGTAGGAGTATAATTCACGGTGCTATGGCTTGTTTAGTGGTTATGAAGGGATAGGGGAAGAAAATGCCACTTTTCCATTTCAAGCACATGTCCAATAACCTCTCGCCTTAAATAATGACAGATTCGAGAACAACGGTATTTTTGATATATTTCAGTAAAAGAGTATGCCTCTGCATAAAGTTAGGTCAGTAATAAATCTCTCTCTCTCTCTCTCTCTCTCTCTCTCTCTCTCTCTCCACAGACACATTACGGGGGTGGGGGGGGGGCATACACGCACACTCCCTACACGCATTTGGTGTTTACCAAACTTAATGCACCGCTACACAGCTAAATTGCAGATAAAGGACATTTTGTCTTTATGACAGACGTTCACGTGAAGGCGGCTATTACCCACACGGTCTTATGTAACCGTACCTATAAAAAGTTTAAAGAGATAACAACTTTGCGTATGAGATTTATTTTCACAATAAATTCATTGTAAACAAGTCACAGAAATATAATTATAAATTCCATTTAACCACTAAACAGCGGTTATCACAATTATTCTGGAATCTGTGCTTGCCATCAGACTACGTGGACCTTCAAACATGACTATACCTCCGTAATCTTCTCTTAAGAGATTATTACAAAAAAAAAACAAATTTAAAAAAAAACTAACTAACTATCTGGACTAACTTTAAATGTTGGAATGAATTCATTAACCATTGATAAGTATGGGAAAATCTGTTTACTGATCAAAACGAAGTTTTTTCTCTCCTCAATGTATCTAGATGCGTAGAAAGAAAACATCGAACCTTTTTTTAAACACGCAAATAGACCGTTTTAAGAATATTGGTTAGTAAATGGTAAAATAAGCATGTAAGACATGACACACAAGTCCTAAGGTATTGTCTATTATTTGGGTTAGGCTTAGGATATGCGCTTTGATGGTCGTGGATTTCATTATTACGTGCGTGGGCATTGGGGCTACATTGCTTTAAATGGCCGACACATACATTGTGTACTTTTCAACATCCACAATCAAGAAAAACTCACATCAGAATTTTAAAAAGTTTTTAAAAAGCATTTAGCATTCCAGCTTAAGATTCATATTTATCAAAATGGCTAAATAATGCAAAATTTATAGCAGCAATAAAAATGGTAAGTATTTTCGGAAAAGACTATCCCATTCTCTGTGACGTTTACATTGAAGATGGTATTTCTCCCGCTGTGTATAATCATCATCAAGTCACTTATAGACACGGTATTGGAATAGACACGTCGAGGAAATAATTCACGCATGCAAAAAACGCCCAATGATATATTAAGCTTGGTCCAAAATTAACCTTTGCGGTGTGAATGCGTAATGACGTTGGATAGCATTAATTTCTTTCCTTTTCCTCTATCTAGACACGGTTGTGGATACAATGACAAAGGTTTTCTTCCGATTAACCACTAACTAAAACATACGAGTAGACTGTTACAAGATGGTCTTACTATTCCATATATAAATACAGTAATAGATTTGAACAACAACAACAACAACAATGATTATGTGTGATTTTATTTCTGATAATAGGTCAATTGATATTAGTTTATACTTATAATATGAAACATTTAAATCACAAAAGTACAGTTTAATTTTTTTGTCCATAGTAATAAGCTTTAATCTTCTTTTTTTCAGCATTCATAATGAAGCAATTTTGGGCAACACAGAATTTTCTTTTGTACTCATTATTCTGATAAATAGATTCTTCCTGTCCATATTGCCATTACAAATATCCTCTAGCCTTTAAACTCTGAGATCATTGTGCAAAGGACACACAGGAAGAAAATGTACTTCAGTTAATATTGTACCTTCCCAACCTGGACACACCCGTTCATCCCTACCCTTTTTCTTGTGCCTGCCCGTCTCTATCATAAGTGTGTGATTTGAACATCTTAAACATACAAGTACTGTTATAAAATAGTTATATCTGGTGTCTTCACATAAGTTCCAACAACAGCAACAGAAGCAGCAACAATTACATTACGATGTGTCAAAATTATATTTATTTCACATTTTACGATAATAATGTCGCATTTCCTGTAACGTTTTAACGGTTTAATTTTGAACGCATTTTCTCATATCTCTGCAGGCCATGTGGTTACGGTCGCAAACTGTAGAAATCCATTTATATTCCCTGTGGTCTCTGCTTGCAGTTGAGTTAAGCTGTGCCATTAGAATATTTTCCTAACCATTTTCCAATTATATGTACTACTGCACGTTGAGCCGTCACAACTTTATCCAGAAGCACAGCCTCGGGCCAATTTCAAACTCAGTTGTGATGGTCCTACTGGGTACATTGTACATGTACAAATCGTCAAAACGACAATTTTTTGCCTCAGTGTGTAAATACGATATTCCACCATTGCCCCCCCCCCCTCCGCCCACAACACCATATTTGCCCCTGTGCACAATGCAGCATCTAACGTATTCTAGCATTTGCTGTACTTAAATATCTGAAAAAGGTTCCGTACAGTTTGATCAGCTTCCTCTAAGGTTTGGAATTGTGATCATTGTTCAGTAAGTGCGCACTAAGTTGTTCTGTTACAACGTGGATGGAAATGCTGCTTAAAATACGACAATAATTCTCTTGAAACATTTCAACAAAGAATGTCAACAAAGAATGACTCATTTAGGCCTACATATGGAAGTTGTAATGGTTTCTTGGTGACAATAAATCTGAAACTAAAGATATAATATATGATACCCTGATTGTGTTAAGTTACACCTAAACACCTTTCAAAGCTAATGTAAGGATCTCACGAAAAGAAAACCAAAACAGGTATATGACATGACCACCAAAGGGATTTGATGAAAATGATGCTAAAGATTCCTCAGGGGTGAATGTCAATGCACCGAATGCAGACAGATGTAACAATGAAGGATATGCTTGTATTGTATGTTGTAAATTGAAGTGTCATCGATGACTGCTTGGCAATAAGATATGAGATGTAAGAATAGACAAATCTTCAGTTCACAAAATGTACATATTCATTGATGACAAAGAGATCTGTGAAGAGTCACGAAAAAAATTTAACACCGACCACTAGCCTAGTTCATGGAATTATCAACTCAGGAAATCTGGATTTTTCATCTTTCTGGAGTCATCTTTCTGGAGAAAAAGTAATGCCAGTGCTAGTAATTCTTAGTATACATGTGTTATATGGTTATCAGCCTTCAAATTTAATAAACACACAATAGGTACACTGCAATAGATTAAATAACCGTAACTTACATGCTATCACTTTTACCATCTTGCTAATAAACCCTGCTTCTCGTAAACAAGCGGTGTCAATCTTGTTTATATGAAAAATAACCACAAACAGGTTAAGTGAGCATTTATGTAAACTGACTAGAAGTGAGTTTAAGTAACAGCGTTTTCATGTCATTTCTACTTGTGCTTGGCGACACACGATTGTAGTTCTTATGGAAAAAATACTGATTCCTGTTTGCCGTTCATTACTATTAGGCCTATTGTCTCATCACGACCCCACTTTCTCTCATAAAAATGGGGCATGAATTATTAAAATAATTCATAGAAAAAATAAACATATGTATTTTTACACCCACGTGAAGATGATATGGGTGCATTTCCTCTTTCTTCATTAAAATACACCATTTCTCTTTTGAAATAAGGAGTAGTAGGATCATGTCACATAAATACCTCAGTTGCGTCTGTCATTTGCCAGGTTTAGTAACCAGGTAAACATAAAAATCCCTGCATGGGTAAAGATGTGCATTAAATCAGCCAACAAAGAGGGCTATACGTATGTGCCCAGTTTAGCGGCGATTCTTAGGCCTACAAAGTTTTTTTGCAAAGTTCACCAATGGGTCTTGTCCGACAGACAAAACATAAAGATACTACGACGCATTAGGACTGCTTGTGACATCTTTCTTTGTATCCAGGCAGTCGCAGACTATTTCCTGGCATTGTCAATGTACTCAGTAGTCTGTGATATGTGGCAACAGTGTGGTGGGACCGCGAATTTGTTTATCTTTACCCTCGGTTAGTTTGCTTCGTCTGAAGGAAAATGGCATTTTCCGCCCGTCAAATCCTCCCTTCTTTATTTGTACCATAATTATGTCCCATCATTTTGTCTTTTTTCTTTGCCATGTAGCACCACCTACGTTGCCTTTTAGTCGTAATAGTCAAACCTCGGTTGCTGTTTTTGTGATATAGGGTCTTGCTTTATGTCAATCACTTCGACTTTGGTTTCGTCCACTTTCGATGGGCAACAACACAATTTGAAGAGGAAGGCAACAAACAATAAGACTGGCAATCCTCCCAAAATCCCAGCCATGATGTAAACCGTAGGATTGACATAATCAGCGTAAGGGTCCGGCGTGGTTGTGATTTCTTCTGTCGTTGTCTGAGTTTCTTCTGTTGTGGTAATTGGTCTTTGTGTTGTTATCTGGGCCGTTGTTGGTGCATTTGTTGTGGTAGTTGGTATTACTGCGGTGGTGGTTGTGGGAGCAAATGTGCTAGTTGTGACAGGCACTCCCGCTGTGGTATTTGTGGCATTCGCAGCGGCAGTAACATTATCACCATCCGTGGTAGTAAAATTGAATGCGCCAACTGTAGTGTATGCATCAGTAGTAATCTCCGCAACAGTGGTATTATCCGTCGCATTCGTTGTTTGTGCAACTGAAACAGTAAACAATGAAATATCTATAATTTTTTCCTTATGATTATGCTAATGAGAGAACGTAGAACCAATTATTGCATCTTTTCAATAGGATTATCGACCATCATTACTTAATTTGAATTCAATAACCAGTAAGGGGTATTTTAGGAGCACAAGCACAAACAATCAAATCACGATGCGTAACTCTTGAACTTTTGTCGATTATATTTCCATTTCGATTTTTGATCAGCCTCTGAATGCTTCTACGGAACTCTAATTGTACCAGCCCAATGCACCACAATACAAGTTTCATTAAAAATTTAACACTGACAAACGCATTATGCGTTGACCCTTACAATGCATTGATATTCGCTTTGAGCGTAAGTGAGAAATGCAACAAAACTTGAATAGGCGGTGGGAATTGTAAATGCAATTTTAATGAGGACCAAGTTAGCGCTGTTGTAGTTTCCTATTTTTGAGACATTGATCTGATCTTTCAAAATAAGACCTTGTGATCGAACTTAATACTTGTTCCTTGTACTCGCATTTTTTTCTCTAACAATATGTGAACAATTACGACTGTTATAGTACACTAGTGTCTACCTATAATTTTTCACAGTTCAGAGTCGATTTCATGTACATAAAAAAAGAAGGGTCCTAAAAAAGTAGTTACATGAAATCTATTAGATGAAACACCGACAATATGACAGTGATCCATTGGGAAGTGTTTGCAATATTAATTTAAGACTTTGTAAGAAAGCACATTGTTTGATGGACTACCCATCCTCAAGTGTGATGCTAAAATAATTGCCAAATCAATGTTTACTTGCGTGGTTTTTTTAAATACACAAAGTTGTTGACACGAAAAAAATGTACACATGTACGGTCTCAAATGCTGATGATTTTGTAACATTGAAGTTGCGTGTTTAGTACACTTTTGTTGATATTTAAGCAAATTACTCATGACATAATATTCATTGATGCAAGCGAATAAATCGCACAATTCTATTTTGAAGATCAGGCAGATTGGCTCTACATTTCAATGTCTGCTGTCGATAGATGTAAGTTAGGGCGCAGTATATTCATGATCACTTATAATGTTGCAAATATTGAGTTGACATGAGACTTTGCACATGTTATGCGTGTATATTCTCATATAATTATAGTTGATTCTGTAGAAGCTAATTGTCTTTTCTTTGCTAAATTATCAAACATTAAACAACGCAAATCTGTCTTCTAATTTCGACAGTAATGAAACAGTTTCGGGTTTCCCTTTTTTCATGATCGAACCCAAAATAAAACCAGAAAAGCAATCTATATGCTGTAGACTGGGAATTACTCGCACACTTCAGGACCGAAGAATTTGTTCGAGTTCGATGCTCAATACACTTTAGCTAATACACAAGAAAAAAAAGATTTGTTCTATATAAATGATAGTTTGGGTTATAAATTGACGAGCTGTGCGGAATCTACAATATCTTATTCCAATATACGAAAAGGAAAAAAAGCAATTGTTAGGCATGGGGGTAAACTTTGAAAGGAAACTTTGTCTATTCTATAGTTTCATTAAAATACAATCCAATCCAAAAAAAAATCAGTGTAAGAACTGATAATCCGGTTCACTTACCTACAATAGGGTTTAGGGAACACCACACCAAAAGGGAGAGCAATGAACTAGTTATCTTCATGATTTCATCCGCAATTAATGCTACGCAATCACCATTTCCAGAACAAGGTGCTTGGATTTTATCGAGACTCAATGAAATTATAATGTATTATCATATGTTCTCTATTTTGTATAACATTTGGATCCATTCCGTAAATAGAACAAGTACTTTTTTCATTTCGTATCCTGTTATCAGGTATTCCTTCGAGAGTTGTTCGTTTTCGATGCCTGTCTTTTTTCCGCCAGTCTCCATCTGATATTTTATCGACCAATTTGACCAATTATGACCCGTGACCGTGAAACTGCCTTCTATTATACATTTCATGCTGTGTAATAGGCACACATTATCTAACAGTCAATAAATAATGTCATCAACATAATTCAGACAAGGAAATCGTTCAAAACACAGACAGGTGATTCATATACGACAAATTGTCCGAAATCAACCTAAAAAAATACATGTACATTTATTACTTTAGGACAGTATTCATCCCCATAATAAATATCAATTTTCTTTTTCTCAAAACGCACGTTTCTGCATCTAATTCTTGATGAATTAATCACATCTGACCTTACATAATGCGATATTGAAGTTGCTGTACAATAAACAATACAGATTTTTTAAGTATAGGAAGAGCTACTACCTGTCAACGTCAAACGTATCATCATTTACACGTCCTTCGACAGGTTTCCCAAGAAGAAAACTCAATCAGTCAATTTGATTTGTTAACAAATTTCTCTTATGAGGCTGTTCTTTACCTGTGCGGGTCATTTACAGTATATTAGAGTAAACCTCCATTTGACAAAAATGGTCTAGATAACAACAGTCACCGAACTTGAAAAACTCGAACAACTTTTTCTGTAACTCATTGAAATTTCACTAATCTAACTACGCCTCAATGATAGCCCTATTGCTTAATGTGCATTTGTTTAGATATTTTAATTTGCCAGATAGTCGCTAAAAATGGGATGCTATTTAGGGACATGCTTGTTAAAAACTTAGAAAATTAATTGCAAGAAATGATTACAATTCATTCCTAAAATATTGAACGATTTTAGCAGTTTTGAATAATAGATGTCGCTTTTTTGCAGTCTCTCTCTAATTAACCTTTAGATAAAGAGGTTTCTTTTCGAGGAAAAAAGATTGAACGATCCGTCGCGTGTTTCATGGCGTTCATGTCAAATTACTTCGAAAAGCGATATTTAGCGTGTATAGGCAACAGTATCATGTATGCTAGTTTCCAGTAAATCAAACCGGATGATCAATTTTATCTCATGATGTTCATGTCAAACTAGTTTGAAAAACAATATTTAGCAACATTTTATTTCTTTATGGAATATCAACAGCTTTTGTTCAGAAGTCTTCGCATTAAGTTGCGACAAAGCATTATAATACGTCACAATCCAGGCTCACTTTAAATTACCTTTAGACAAAAACGTTTCTTTTCGAGAGAAAAAAATGATTGAACTGTTCTTCGTTTGTTTCATAAAGTTCGTGTAAAATGCTTCGAAAAAGACATTTAGCTTTTCACGGACCACACGGATCGCTAAAAATCTGCAACAAAATTGTTAAGTCGCCTCATCAGTATTGTAACAGTATGTATACTATAGAGGCTCTGTAATATGATTTCCTGCGAATCAAACGAAATGACCATTTTTTTAGTGGAGTTTATGTCAAATTTCTTTGAAAACAATATTCAGCGTGTATAGACAACAGTATCATTGGGCATGCACATGTATGCATGTTTTCAGCCAATTAATTTTATTACAAGACATGAAAAACAAAACAATGATTTTACAGACATTTATCTCAATAGGAATCATCAATACGGAGCCACATAAAAACTGAAGGTCTACTTACAGGAACAGTTCCCCTACGCTTAAGCTGGCAACTTTTGTGTCATCATGCTTATACCAAATAAATAAATAAACAAACAAACAAACAAACAAACAAACAAATAAATAAATAAATAAATAAAATATGGGATGGCGACGAAAAAATGAAGTGTGGAAGCGGCCTACTTGTTACTGCGTTAGATGAGATTCAAGAATCCAACTACAACTTGATGGAGGAATAGTGACGGATGAAGATCTTTGAGCGAGCTCTTTGAGCGTGCATTAGGTCTACATACTGCCATTACCTGCATTATAGAGACAAATTATAGGTAGGCCTATTGAATTTTTGCAAAATGTGAAAAAAGAAAAGAAAGAAAGGAAAGCGTTGTTTGCATTATTCTGTTTGGAGCCTGGCGCCTAATCTTAATATTTACTTTAACTCGATCACTTTTTAAATCTAGTTAACCCCGCAGCTAGACACCGCGAGCTTAGCTTTTTAAATGAAAAGTATGGGTTTATGGAATCGGACAATTTCCACTTGTAGGCCTACCAGGGATTACATGTGTGTATATAGCTGTTAAAAACCTTCCCCTCACACCATGGAGTTTTTTCTACTTCTATGCCTCACACATAATAATAATAATACCCCCCCCCCCCCCCCCCCCCCGTGCTCCAGTGAAGAACAATGTTCATGCAGCTTTGTGGATTTGAACTGTTCAAGTTTGGTTTACAATCCGTTGATTTATTTACCAGACATAAGGTGATCTAGTTAAATGATTCATTGTTTAATTTTGCTAGTTATTGGCCACCCCGCACTCCCCTGCATGGCACGCACTTTCAAAAGCGGATGTTTATGGTGACGCAAAGCAGGAAGGCCATTTTACTGTGACCTATTTATAATTTGAAAAACTGCGCAATAAGCGATTGCTGATTATTTCAAATTATACCTTAATCATAGTTTTGCAGATGTACCTAAAATTCTTTTTATTAAATAAAATTTTACTATTTTTCCTCAGCTTTTGAACTACAACCTCTCTTCTTCAGCGATTTCGAACTAGTTTCCATCGGCAGTTTCCGGCCTAAATTTCCTGGTACGGTACTGCGGTTTACATCTGGAAGTATAAAGTTTCGTTCCCGTGCAACTCGCTTGAAGCCGGCTCACTAGTGTACTGCTCGACTGCGAAGCATGCCGACTATGTTTTTCACTTTGATCGCACTGAGCCTTATGGCTGCTGATGTTTCAGCATCTAGGTAAGAATTACAGCATTACTGACAGTTTTACTTTTATTTCAGTTTCACGGCGGGAAGTTTAAAAGGCCATGTATGTTGACATAACGTTATGCTATTGTTAATTATAAATGGCCATTTTACCCTAAGTGCATTATGTTACATTCAGTTCCTTGGTGGTCCAGTTTCTAAAAAAATGATTTGTGTTGTGCGTAACAAAGGCGTGCTGTCTTTTGTGCAACCATCATTTAAATAATATTATTGTGTATGTGATATGTAATTAATCCTCCCAGTATTTGACTCCGGCGGCTATTATGTAAACTGAAACTTGATATTTAAGCTGATGATTATTTTAAATTGAATCTAGTTGCCCTGTAGTGGGAGATCTATTGGCTTTTACATTGGTATTGGTAGCCCAATGCCTCTACTCTGCCATTCCTGGTGTAATTCTAATCCAGTGCTTGTTCTTATCAGTGTCAGACAGTGACAGTTAACAGATTGTGACACAGAATGGGCCCCTTGTTTATATACTTGATTGATTACATTCCTCACATTCTCTGAAGGGAATTGGGTTCTTATTAAGTACATGAAACAGTTCATACTAGTATTTCGTAGCTGTTATTAATAAAGTGATGGTTTAAAAGCATCATACAAAGGTGAAATTCTGACTGGATTCATAATTCATTCTGATTACTGTCAGCTGAAGCAGTTAAGTCTCTGGTCTATCATCAGAAACATGCCCTGCTTCTGGAACTTTGCCAACATCTCCAATGCTTCTCTGTTTAATTTATCACTAGATTTTTGGCCTGTTACTGTTTACTTTCCTCTGAAAATGACCTTGCATACTTCCTTGAAATGAGGTAGGAACTGTAGCACATATTTGCACTGGCATCATAAGAAGCTTTGTAGCTCTTGATGTGCATTTATATCTTGTTTATTACCATGATGCCTGAAGACAAAAGGATTCATAAAAGTGCAGTATTGGTATCCCAAATATAGATGTAATCATCACGTTTTCAAATATGTTTGTTTTGGGCAATGATTTCGTGATGATGTTTTGTGAGATATAAATGACATCTCTGTGTTGCAAGCACCATTTCAAGATTAAAAATATTGCAGAGAGGCTTAGATAAAATCAGTGTCAGAGGAAATTAGTCTGGAGTAGCAGACATATCAAATGTAGGATTATTTGCCATGAGCATTTGTGTGAATGTGATTTGTAGAAAACATGATTTGAACATTATTAAATAAAAGATATTATAACTCCAGTAATTAAGGCATATTTTCATAAACCGCTCTGTCTGTTCCTAGGCCTGTTCCTCTCCCAGATGCTTTATTGTTTTTTTTCTTTTTGAAATAAAAGTTTATTAGTTTTAAACATGTAATTTTTTTCTTTCAGAATGGGCTTCATGTTAACTGCACCAAAAATTCTTCAGTCCAACTCTACAGAAAAGCTGTGCATAACATTCCATGAAATCAGCTTTGATCTTACAGTTACAGCTATGTTGGAAAATAGCCCAGTTATAACTGAAGAACTTTTTGAATCAGGTAAGATTAAGAGAAAATTCACATAATAGTACAGTAAAGAGTATTATGATAGTGATTGGTGGTAGTGATGCATGTGGACATGGAGGAGTGAGGGGGAGTGATTTATATCTTGTGCTCTTGACAGAAAGAATCAAACGAATGAGAAGTATTTCTTGTAGAGTATCAATTAGAAAAGCTTCCTTGTTGGGTTGGAGGAACTGACTTGGAATGAATGAGTTACACAATTGAAATTTACAAACAGTGCTTATGCCTTGTACATTTTGAAATGTTGGGGTTAATTCTAGGAAAAAAATCCAACAACTGTAAATATTACATTGCATTTATTACTGTTTCCATTGAATTTCTTTTTTTTTCTGACAGGTAAGGGTGGGTGCTTTGATTTCCATGTGCCTTACATGACAGTGGACGAAGATTCACTTTCAGTGATAGTAGAGCAGTATGGCACAGTGCCCCCTGACCAGACTCCGTACAAAGCCAATGCCACACAGAAAGTAAAAATCAACAGGATGAACCTGATGACCTTCATCCAAACTGATAAGCCCATTTATAAGCCTGGAGACAGAGGTAGGGTTTTATATTTTTTTACTTGTTTGTTTTCTTTTGAAGGTTCGCATTATTTTCTAGAGAGACCTTTAAGATTCCTCCATGTGTACTCTTGAAAGAGATTTTGTGACTGAATGCATGTTGTTTATCTGTTTTGTGCTTTATTTTACAGTGAAGTTCAGAATCCTCAGTGTTGATTCAAACTTGAAACCAAGGCTAGGTGAAGTAAGTATGATTGCAGTTGACAGCTTAAAATGAATGCCAGAATTATATTTTGTTTATTACTTTTCCAGTAGGTTTCTTCTTGCCCTTGAGGATAGGTATTTTTGAAAACATTAATAAATAATTGGCCAATCTCAGCAGTTCATAATAAAGCAAAAAAAAAAAGAATAGTTTTTTTTATCAGTGTTGTATGTTACAATCAAATATAAATTGCGTATTTATTACATTCCAGATTCCCAAAATATATGTGCAAGACCCTTCTGGTGTGCGTGTTGCTCAGTGGCTTGAGGTGGAGACACAGAAAGGTATGTTTTTTTTTGTATTGAATTCTGCCTTTTTAGGTACATGTGTTCAAAGGACAAAATAAGAATACATAAAATTTACTGTATAACTAGATATGTAGAAAATGCCTTAACATTTTAATTAACCTATGAATTCTGTACTTGTTTATCAATGCACAGTATAAAATAAATTAAAAGTAATGCCAAGTGATATAATTGTTTGTTTTAGGGCTGGGCAGTTTGGAACTAGCACTTTCTAAGGAACCTGCTCTTGGAGATTGGAAAATAACTGCTGAAATTGACAAGAAGAAAGAGGAACAAACATTTGAAGTTAAAGAATATGGTAAGTGTAGAAATGCAATACAGCTGTTAAGGGCATCTTATTTTTTATTTAAAAAAAAAAAAAGGATAACCTGCATGTGCAGTGTTGGTACACAAATAAGCTGAAAAGGGAAATCTTTGTCCAGCATTTAAACGTGTTTTGGTCCAAATTTTTTTCTAGCAGTCTTTTTATCTTTGCATATTATAATTTATAAACAAGAAAAAGGAATGTTGTATGTAAATCAGTAAATATTCAAGTAAATCCTGCATTATAACTAATTTGTCTACTTGAAAGAATATCTAGCAAAATTGCAAATGTGTATACTGAGTATATATTTTTATCAAGTTGTTTAGGCCACATTGAAAATATTATTAAAACAAGTGAAAATCAAATAGTTTAGGTATGCCACACTTATTTTTATAAAGCGGCCACTGCATTGCTGTTCTTCTTGTCAGAATAGTTTAAGAAGAGAACACCAGCTGGTGTGTAGGAGTATATCTGGTTGAAAGGAAGTAGGCTCAAATAGACAATTATAAAATACTGAAGCTTAAGAGCTCCCCTGTTGGCATCTTTTACTAAAATGGAGGAAACAGTTTGTGTTCATGAGATGATGTTGCCTTTTTGGTATCCTATTTGCAGTTACCAACAAGGAGTTCCCCTCATTATAAACTGATAATAGAAAATGCGTAGGCGTTTTTGAACAGTGTCCATTTCCTTGGTGTTCCTGATCAGAGACAGTTGTACTACAAGTTTGTACTTTACTGTGAACAGTTTCCCTAGCTGGAAAGAGGCATTTGTTGGCCTGTATTCTCTGCTAGCTTAATTTGTTAAGGGGAATGTTGAGTCATTTTCCTGCTGTTTTAGAATACTCAAAGACTTGATACTGTCTCTGCATGGGACACTGGAAATTTTCGGCAGGAGTTTTATTTTAATGGGCACCAGTTCAAAGAAAACAGCAGTTGTAAGGAACATCAATGGTTAAATGTGTTGTTCCTGTGGTTTACATTTATTAACAAACCCTGATAAGTGAAATTAGATTATTGACGTTATTTGAAAGAATATTATTTACACAAATTGTAACCAAACAACAATAATTTTTATTGTGGTTACTGTATCTCTTTAAGTATTTACTCAGGCTGAAGATGTTGGTATTTGTCCAGGTATGAGTTAGTGGTCTTCCCCTTAGTCTGACTCAAGTTTTAACCACTAGCCACAAATGGAGCAGATTTTGGGCAAATTGTCATTCAATCATGCCACCCTGTGGTAACCAAGTGTCATCCTGGATAACCTCTTTACTTCCCACGTTTGAAAATTCTGGAAGCAACTGTTGAAATGTAATCAGCCATTTAACATATGGCAAAGCTTTACTGAATTAATTTTGGTTGACACCTGTTTTATAATTCTAAGGGATGGCAAAAAAAAAACAAAAAAACATGATATCCCAAGAAATGAATAAAAAGTATAAGTATGAACCTTGATTTGTTGCTTTACAATAGAATCATGTATATTTTTGTTATAAATTATTTTGTTTATCACTGAGTACATAGTCATACACCCACTCACATATCTCACTTTTACTCCTTTTTATACTAGCATCTCCTCTTTCTAGAGTACTGCCTCCCACACCTCACCGGCAGTACACTGCTCTATTGTCATTAGAACTTGTAGATAGAATTTCTGATTTTCGTCTGCATCTCAACCTGCATTGTTTTTGTACAGTCTGCTCTATGTTTCCTCAGAGCTCAGTGAGTTGACCTTCATTATGTTACCAGACAATATTGTTCCATTTTCTTTTCTGTTCATTTTAAATCTTGAACTGGCATGACCTGGGAAGATCAAAATGTACTTTCTTGTGACTTGCAATATAATCCTCCGTATAAATGATGAAAAAGTCAGTATTGAATTCACACGGAAATCGGTTCTGATACCTAATACTATTTGATTGATGAAGTTTATGAATTTACTTCAGTAAATTGTTTGGTAAACAGTTATTTAGGCTTTTGCCTGAGGCTGACCACCTGTCCAGACTTTGTTCATGGTACTTGCTCATGTTATTACTGCTTTTTGGATATCTGTATAAGATGAATCAAGCAACTCTCACTAATGGATTTTCTTTTCAGTTTTGCCCAAATATGAGGTGAAAATTAAGCCACCCTCTTTTGTGAGAGTTGATGATAAAGAAATCAAAGGAGAAATCTGTGCACAGTAAGTAATTGTGGGGGTGAAAAAGGGAGATTATTATTTGGGGGGAGGGGACAAGTATGTTTTGTTTAAAGAAATACAGTTTCACTATGAAACTTCTATGCAGCATGATATGACAGAAGATAAAGACAACATAGTATGAGGATGTAAGCCTTTAGCCAGCAATTTCCAAGTAGGGTTCTTTTTCTTAAAACTTGGCCTTTTTTGTACCCCCCCCCCCCCCCAGTTAACACAATTTGAAAAACAGGATCTGCTTAATCAAATTTTGTTTCAGAGGGGATCTTTTGCAGCCAAAAGATTTTTTCCTAACCCACCCACCCCCATCATTTTGGGGGAGGGGGGCTACTATTGCTTGTGGTGAATGGCAGCCTTACAAAGCTTTCAGTGTTGGCAAGTTCATACATAAGATCCATGGCAGTTGCCAGGGTCAGATTATTTCAGTGTTTGAAGATGTCACCTTGGCCTTTGATCTTGCCAGTCTATGATACCCTTGAACTTTCCAGCAATATTTTCCTTGCTTTAGAGAGAAGCTGTCCAAACAACACCATAATGCCATGTGCACGGCTGTCACTGCTCACTTCTCTGGTCTTTTTAATACAAACTGACTGTTAAGTGGTGTAAATTTGTATTTGACCATTTCAGTGCCCTGGTTGTACATGTAGTAACAATCCCATATAGATAAGTTCATCAGAAATTGGTAAATTATATATTGAGGGCCTCTTTTTATAATAATAATAATAATAATAATAAAATAATAATAATAATAATAATAAATGTATGTATGTATGTAATGAATGTATGTATGTATGTATGTATGTATGTATGTATGTATGTATGTATGTATGTGTATGTATGTATGTATGTATGTATGTATGTATGTATGGAGATCATGCTTTTTATGAAACTGCCATGTGCTGATGTCATGTTTTTTTGTTTCTTTAAGTTTCTCAAAATTTACACCTTTTCACAGCAAGCATTAAATCTTGGCCGCTACAATTGTACCAGTATGTTTTGAGTTATTGACAACTTTATGCCCCCCCCCATTTTAGTGACACTAAAATTATTTAAATTGTTTCAGTTACACCTATGGAAAGCCTGTTAAAGGAGAGCTAGTTGCAGAGTTTTGTGTCAAAATAAGGTATACCTCTTCTGTCAGGCCATGTGCTATCTTGGTGGATGAGGTAAGCAATATATTACAATATATCACTTTCAAAACAGCTGTCTTAAATTCCTGCTGTAAATCCATTACTACTGCTCACAAAACAAATAATTCCTAGCATTTCTATTTTTTCAGTCTTATGAACTTTGTTGTTTCTTAAATATAGTAATGTAATTTAAAATGGTTTCATTTATTCTTTCTAGATTAATGGTTGTCAACCATTTACTATCCAAGCTTCCACTCTTAAGCTGACAAACAGCACCTATTCCATATATGATGCCAAGTTACAGGTGGTTGCCAGGGTAACAGAGGAAGCAACAGGTAATATTGACAGTAAAATTGATTAATTTTCATTTTTTGTAAATTTTTGTAAAACTGGTTTTTAAGAGTCCACGTTCATGCATCCATTATCAGTAAAATGTTTATCTTGTATTTCACATGGATTTTCTTGAATTTTATGTCAAGATAAATGCCCCATATATTGAAATGCATGTTTCTTAAGGGTAAGTATAATTGATGGGTGTAAAGTTATTTTAAAGGGAATTTTGGTCGGATTATTGTTGTTGTAAATCCTTTTATCTTTTAAAATTAACAACCTGCCTGTTCAGTTAAATGTATGTAAAATTATATAAGTGATTACTTCCCCTGCTTGAATGTTCCATTTTTCTAGAAAAGTGAAAGTAGTATAAATTGTGGGAAATATACTTTGCTTAATTTTATTATATATTTTTTGGAAATAATAATTATGCATTTGGAATTTTGATTGTGAAATTTGATCGAGTGATGGTTGATGTATGATAAATCAAAATTTCACAGATGGTCTGTTTTAGTTAAATGATGTCATCGCTATTTCTTGTAACATTTTCATGTCTTTGTTTAGGTGTCATCTTGAATGAAACCAATGATGATGCAAAGATTGAAACTACACCATTTAAAATTGAGATCAGAGAACACTCTCCAGATACATATAAACCAGGTCTCAAATACCATGGAAAGGTAGGGATTTTTTTGTATGACTTTTTAAATTCAGTACATGTAAATAAAGTCTGAAGTACAAAAATAACAAAAACGTGAGTAGAGAGGCTTGTATAAATTGTCCCTCTATTTTTACATTGAAGATAGTACTAGTGAAAACATTACAATCTTGAGAACCACTATTTACATTACAGAAGTTATATATGCTATGTAAGCATGTGGATAGCATTCAGTTTAAATTTACAAAACATTAAAGAGGGAAATTTTGTTTTAAAGACATATCATATTGTTTATTGAAAAGTGGTTCTTTCACTTAAATTCTGATAAAAATTCAAGAATAAACACCTTTTATCATATAATTATTATAAATTTAGATAGTAGTAAAGAAGCCAGATGGAGCCCCTGCCCCTGGTGAGTTGATCCAAGTTGGCATAGACANTTTTTTTTTTTTTTTAAATTTTCAAAAATTTACCCTTTTTCAACAAAAAATAAAAATTTGGCGCCCCAAATTTTCCCAGATGTTTTTGGGGTTTGAAACCTTTTTGCCCCCCCCCCCCCCCCCAGTGACTCTAAAATTATTTCAATTGTTTCAGTTACACCTATGGAAAGCCTGTTAAAGGAGAGCTAGTTGCAGAGTTTTGTGTCAAAATAAGGTATACCTCTTCTGTCAGGCCATGTGCTATCTTGGTGGATGAGGTAAGCAATATATTACAATATATCACTTTCAAAACAGCTGTCTTAAATTCCTGCTGTAAATCCATTACTACTGCTCACAAAACAAATAATTCCTAGCATTTCTATTTTTTCAATCTTATGAACTTTGTTGTTTCTTAAATATAGTAATGTAATTTAAAATGGTTTCATTTATTCTTTCTAGATTAATGGTTGTCAACCATTTACTATCCAAGCTTCCACTCTTAAGCTGACAAACAGCACCTATTCCATATATGATGCCAAGTTACAGGTGGTTGCCAGGGTAACAGAGGAAGCAACAGGTAATATTGACAGTAAAATTGATTAATTTTCATTTTTTGTAAATTTTTGTAAAACTGGTTTTTAGGAGTCCATGTTCATGCATCCATTATCAGTAAAATGTTTATCTTGTATTTCACATGGATTTTCTTGAATTTTATGTCAAGATAAATGCCCCATATATTGAAATGCATGTTCCTTAAGGGTAAGTATAATTGATGGGTGTAAAGTTATTTTAAAGGGAATTTTGGTCGTATTATTGTTGTTGTAAATCCTTTTATCTTTTAAAATTAACAACCTGCCTGTTAAGTTAAATGTATGTAAAATTATATAAGTGATTACTTCCCCTGCTTGAATGTTCCATTTTTCTAGAAAAGTGAAAGTAGTATAAATTGTGGGAAATATACTTTGCTTAATTTTATTATATATTTTTGGGAAATTATGCATTTGGAATTTTGATTGTGAAATTTGATCGAGTGATGGTTGATGTATGATAAATCAAAATTTCACAGATGGTCTGTTTTAGTTAAATGATGTCATCGCTATTTCTTGTAACGTAACATTTTCATGTCTTTGTTTAGGTGTCATCTTGAATGAAACCAATGATGATGCAAAGATTGAAAATACACCATTTAAGATTGAGATCAGAGAGCACTCTCCAGATACATATAAACCAGGTCTCAAATACCATGGAAAGGTAGGAATTTTCTTGTATGACTTTTTAAATTCAGTACATGTTTATAAAGTCTAAAGTACAAAAATAACAAAAACATGAGTAGAGAGGCTTGTATAAATTGTCCTCTATTTTTACGTTGAAGATAGTACTAGTGAAAACATGACAATCTTGAGAGCCACTATTTACATTACAGAAGTTATATGAGATATGTAAGCATGTGGATATCATTCAGTTTAAATTTACAATACATTAAAGAGGGAAATTTTATTGTAAAGACATATCATAATGTTTATTGAAAAGTGGTTCTTTCACTTAAATTCTGATAAAAATTCAAGAATAAACACCTTTTATCATATAATTATTATAAATTTAGATAGTAGTAAAGAAGCCAGATGGAGCCCCTGCCCCTGGTGAGTTGATCCAAGTTGGCATAGATAGCTGGCAATCTGAGAAAGACTTCAGACAGAATTACACCTCAGACAAGAATGGAGAAATCTTTTTCACTATGCCGCCTTTTGAGAAACAGTTGCCTTCTATCAAGATAGTGGTAGGTTGTGACAGTGGTATTTCTAAATATTTTTGGGCAATGTGTAGATTGTATTGGTTTCAGTCGTGGTTATGGTATGTTTTTCAGTGGTACTTCTAACATGGTGTCTCTTTGTTGCCATATATGTCACAGTACACAATGTTGACACTGTATATAAAAAATTCTAACAGTTTAAAGCCTCTCACATACCATGGACCACTTTTTAAATGCCCAAAGAAGAAAATAGAAAAAGAAATAACGAACATGTTTTGCTTTAAAGAAATTGGTGATATTAAATGGCCCTAATTTTTTACCAATTTACACACACACACAAAACTTAAGTATTGCCTTTTTGTTGCAGGCTAGTGCCCCAGACTATCCATACTATTATGACAGACAGGTTCACCAGGTCTATGCACAGCAGGCATATCACAGCATCCAACAGTGGTATTCACCAACTGGGAGATTCATGCAGATTGAACCTATAAGGGAAGTGGTCAAATGTGGATCCACTCTGAAAGTTAATGTGACTTATACCACAGAAGCCAACACTGAGCTGAAGTTTTATTATGAGGTATCCTGATTTGATATAATTTTGCTAGAAAAAAGAAACATGTCAGAATAGTCATAATCTAAAAGTGATTTTCCATGATTACTTGTCATATACATGTACATGTACTTTTGACCCTGGATACACATGCATGCACACACACATGCGCACGCACACACACATACACACACAGAAATACATGGATGTGTTTCAGTGGTTTATTCTTTATGTATTCATATTAGATCTTGTCAAGAGGAAACATCCTTGAAAGTGGACACAAGCGTCACCATTTCAAAATACATGATTACATGGAACCTCTCAATGATGAACCAGTTGGAGAAGACCTTGTAGAGATGGAAGGGGAAATTGCTCCGGGCTTTGAGGGCATGGAAGGAGCTGAGGAACCAGAGATGCCTGTGGAAGAGGAGGTTATCATACCAGAGATTGCTATTCCATATGGAGATGATATGATGAGTTAGTATATTTAATTTTCTTACTGAAGATGACACTGTGTATGAAGAAATACATGTAGGACTAATGTAGAAGTAATTTTTAGGTCTTCAGAATCTTAGGCTTCGTTCACATGGAAAGTCTATTTTCTAAAAATCTATTTTCTATTTGCGGTATATCTTGTGATCACGGTCTGTGCCCTGAATGCGGCTAATTACTGGCAGCGCAAGCTAGTTACTATAAGTTACTATAAGAAAATAGCCTTATATTTGATTACTGTGTCATCTAGTGTCAGTCATTAGATTATTTTGTTTTGTTTACTTATATATGAACCATGTGGGTGAAGAGTTTTGCAAGTCTACTGGTAAATTAAGTAAGTTTACCCCATCTTGTGAGGAGCTCTTTTTTTCCGTAGATTATCATGTATAGATTTGTAATAATAAATATAAAACGTTCAATTTTTGGGACATCATTGAAAATTTTTCAGCTGGCCCACCCATTCCTCCAACTACGTCAGTACCAACCACATCCAAACCCAACCAGCCAAACCAGGTAGAGCTTCCAGGTCATGTTAGTGCTGTACATTTTGAGTTTCCTGTTACTCCCCAGATGTCGCCACTTACCAGAATCCTCATCTATTATGTTAGAGAGGATGGGGAAGTTGTATCTGACAGTACAGAGGTCAAGGTGCAGCATTGCTGGGACAATAAGGTTAGACATTTTTTAGATAATTTGCAAAGAGTGTATATATATTTAAATCTTAGAGAAAAACTAAAAAGATTTAAGATGAAATGCAGAAAAACACGGTCAAGTGAAATATATGATGTACCTGACCATGAAATATAATGTGATTTTAATCCAAATTTTGATGAATGTGTTAATCCTGACTCGGATAGATAATTCTAAACTACATTTAAGACATGATTACAGAAATAAAGCAAGAAAAACAATTGAAAAATAATGTTTCAAATTTTCAAACTCACCATTATGATACAGAAAATGAAAACATGTAAACTTAAACCTTTTATTCTCATCAGGTGGAGCTTGGGTTCTCAGATGAAGAACGTCTACCAGGAGAAGACACTACCCTGGAGTTGAAGGCAAGCCCTCAGTCCCTGTGTGCTATTGGGGCAGTGGACAAAAGTGTCCATCTTCTCAGGTCTTCTAATCAACTGGACTCAGGCAAGGTATATTTCAGTGGTTAATTCTACCAATTTCTCATTAATAAAGATACAGGTCTGTAGCTAGTAATTACAAAGTCGGAGGGGTCTTTTTCTGAAAACCAAAATGGACTCTTTTAACCCAGTAGTTGACCCAACCTGAGAAATGGCATAGAATCTAGATCTAATTTTGATTCAGAGTGGACCTTTTGTCCGAAAAAGATAACAGCTGCCTGAGGACCTGATGTATTAATTAAGGTACATGTACTTGCAATAAGAATGGAGATTAAGCTACAACTTTGAGGCAATAATTTAGTTTTTGTAAGGCATGCACATGCATGATTAAGTCAGGTATTAGTTATCATAAATGATATGGATTGACTCTTATCATTTCAGATTTTTGAATTATTGAAGGGTTATGACATAAATATTAATAACGGAGGTGATGGATCTTCAGACTACTGTGAAAAGAAGAGGCGTTTTGAAGAGAAGGAGTCACCTAGTGAGTGATTTATGTTTTATAATATAACTTTTTAAAAATACTATTTGATTCATGCATTTGAAAGTTTGTTTTCAATTTATTCTATCTGTAAATTTTACCCATACAGTAATTACTTGACAGGGACGTTGAATATCTGAAGTCTAGTTTGGATATGTTGATGATTTTCCATCTTCAGTTTATACCCGGGTTTGAAACTTAAGCTGTACATTGAAATAATTACTTTGTATTAATTACATCAGCCACAGATTGATAGCTAGACTCCAGCATTGACTGCTAGGTAATTTTCATAATTTTTTTCAGGCCGTCTGCTTATGGATGCCCCCAGACCTCCCTCTCCCTTCTGGAGTCTGCCTGGTCCTCCAGGAGAAAGGAAAAAGAGATCAATTGCACCCTGGTTTTTCCCACAATCAGAATATTATGATGCCATCCGGGCTTTTCAGGTACTGTATGCTTTTCCTATTGGGCACATTTTTATATAGATGAATTGTTTGTTCCTGGCAGGTATGCAGAAAGGCCAACATCTGATCAAATTTCAAAGCTCATCAATAAGATTTTATATGTCTACAGATGAGATGTATCTATATTATGAGGATGTGTTATGTTGCGAGTAAGATTGGAAATATTTTGGAATTTATGTATTTATCCATTCATTTACTTTAATTTTTTAGACGGCTGGTATGGTAGTGTTGACAGACCTTACAGTTGAAACCAGACCTTGTTCTTCCTACAGACCATATCCTGCTATTTACTGGAGAGGATTAGGAGGTAAATGTTAAACTGCTTCTCTGACAAATTTATAAGTCTGAGACACAGTTGGAAATTTAGTCAATTATTGAAATATTTGTGTAAGGATTAGTAATTGTATATGAAAGAGCCACAGTTTGAGTATGGATTTATGATTTAATAATTTTGCATCGTAAGTTATTTTACAAAATTCTTTTGTTCAATAATTTTTTATCATAACAGCTCTTGCTGACCAAAGTAAATATATGTTCGTTTGAGGTATTTGTTGTATTTTTAATTATTAAAAGTTTGTACTCAGTGCTTCAGTACTGTTATAAATTAAATTTTTTACATAATTTTCATTGAAATTTTGTTTAAGGAACAGACTGGTCCTTTTTCCAGCTATCAGTATAATGAGCATGCCAATACCTCCAATCTTTTTGCACATCTAGAATTTTTTCATATTTTTGTTACATGTAGTTGTCTAGTCTTGAGCATTTTTAATTAATATCTACTTAATAGTTATGATACCCTTGAACAAACCACTAGCAGTTATCAATCATTGTTACTACCACTATTACTAATCAACCCGCTCCGTCCATTTTACACACATGCACGCAGGCACGCACACACACACACACACACACACACACACACACACACACACACACGGTTCTACGTAATTAACTGTGTATACATATTGTTTTACCTTAGGACCTATGCTTGTGGAGGAGGATGCTCCAGTTGCATTCATGCAAGTAGATGTAAATGCACCTCCAGATCAAGAATCTAATAGCAAGGAAAAGTCAGGAATTCAGAATACTCCAACTTTGCGAAACTATTTCCCAGAAACCTGGCTATGGGACCTTGAAATTGTTGGGTGAGAAGACACACATGTATTCATAAGTTTACCCTTTGCAACTTTTTCATTTCCTTTCAGATGCACACAGGATTATTGGTGACGAATCCACAAGGAATGCTTGTTGTCTGCAGAATGATATATTGGGATCTTTTGAAATTGTGCCTATTTAATTTTTAGGCTTTTTCAATTTTATTTTACTGGTATATTATACCCTATCTAATTGAACTAACTTGCTGTAGGTCCACTGGCAGTACCAAGAGCAAGTGGAATTCGACAGTTTAGTCCACCTGTTGCTCTTCCCATGATTGTTGAAGCTGATGATATTAAAGAACCTACTAAAACTGTAACTAGCACTGTCACATTGAGGAATTACTTTCCTGAAACTTGGCTGTGGGAATTGGAATATGTAGGGTGAGATGTGTGGTGCTAAAACTAGTAATGTATAGTAAGTCCTTTGCTTTTGCTTTGCTTTGATTAAGTGTGGACTACCAGGTTAGCAGCTAGAGTGATGAATGGGTAATTCCATGGGAGATTGCATAGGGGTGGTGCAGCATATTTTTTGTGTGGCATATATACTAGTATAGTTAGTGTATGAATATTATCAAGCAATGCACACTTTGTATAGCATATTTTTTCAAGTGAAAATATAAGTATTTGCTATGTGTGGACAGAGCAGAAGTATTTATAAAGTCTTCTGGATGTGTCTTTTGAATATCTTTTTGATGTTATTTTAAAATATCTCATTTAAAATACTATTAACTTGGTGAGAAGATTAAGTTTTGGTGACTGAATCTGCCATTGTTTAATATTGAGATTGAAATATACTGTGAATGATAATGAACAGATAAATGTTGATATATTTTGATCTATTGCATGTTTTCAAGTCCAGAATATTAAATATCCACAATGGCTATTGATTTTGCAAATGATCTACATGTATACAGTAACTACTCACCATATTCAAACTAAACAGGCAAATTGTATTTTCTGAAACATACTGTTGATTAGAAACTGAAAAACGTATGCATTTTATGAGCTACTAAAAATGATAAATATTGAAAAAAAACTTGAAAAAATATGACAAATCTTGAAAAAATGAAAAGTCGGCAATTTGTACGTGTAGTAACAGAATTAATTTGCTTTCGGGGTATAGTTGAGAAAATGATTATCTAGAAATATAAACAAGAAGGTGCTATACTAGTACTTACATGATTTCAACTTAAAACCAGATTTTGGTCTTTTTTCTAGGGAATCTGGTAAGCTGGAAAAGAAGCAGACCATGCCCCACACCGTCACTGAATGGGTGGGCAGTGCTTTCTGTACTAACACAGAAACTGGCCTAGGGGTGGCACCACCAGCAACCATCAAGACATTCCAGCCATTCTTCGTCTCCTTTAATCTGCCCTATTCTGTTATTCGTAAAGAGAAAGTGCCACTCAAGCTTTCAGTCTTCAACTACTTGGAGGAATGCTTAACTGTACGTATTTTAAAAATAGAAAAGCATTACATGGAAACTTGTGATTGAGATTATTTGTGCATTATTGTAATTCAAATGTATGCATGAAATACAGTGTGCATAAGTAAAATGAGTATAATACATCAATGTTCAAAGATGTTACAAAGCACTATAAGCCTTGAAACAGACAGACAAAACCTTAAGTGTGTGTTAGTCATGATAAACTGTGTCATTTACTTTATTTAGATTCAACTAACTTTGAAGAATTCTCCCTCCTTTGTGGTATTCGGAGAGAAAACTGCCAAACTGTGTGTCTGTGGAAACGAAGTGAAGACCCACACTTACAAGATAGTGGCTACCAAGCTGGGGAACATCAACATTACTGTCAAGGTACACATCTTACATTTCAATACTGAAAAATAAATTGTGCTTGGTTAACATAGTGAGTCTAAGACAAGCAACTTTGTAGAATGTGTTTGAAATGTACTGTATTAGCAAAGTGAGTTACTTTAACATTGGTTAATTTTTATATTGATCATTACTATTATTTTCTCTCTCTCTCTCTCTCTCTCTCTCTCTCTCTCTCTCTCTCTCTCTCTCTCTCTCTTTTTCTGCGCTGCTTAATTTTATTCATATTTGAGTTAATATGCTGTCATAAGCTTTAATCTTGATTTATTCTGTATATCTGGTATATTTAGGCTGTTTCAACGGATGAAGCTGGAGTATGTGGAAATAATGTACAGATGAGTTCTAAGTATATTGATGTGCAGGATGCAGTTGAACGACAATTATTAGTGGAGGTAATGCTCTGTTCATGTATTTCAGCTGAGCAATTAATTAATAAATTAAGTGACATTTTTGGAGGAACTTTTATTTACTTTGTTCAAATATTATAAAGTTTGCAGATGTATCTGAATAGTGCTCTCCAATTGTACAATGTTCATTGTTGGATTTCAGGCTGAAGGAGCAGAGGAGGAATACACTTACAGCTCATTTTTCTGTCCTAAAGGTTAGAGTTCAGTCATTTGTATATTACAAAGTGCATTTTCCCATCTTAAAGAATAACATTACAAAATCTTGTTTTAAACAAATGGTAGACAACAAGTATTGTTTCACACCCACGTGGCTAACTGACGATTCAGTTCCTTTTGTATCCTAGCCACTGGTCAGTAGTTGCATTGAAAATGGAATATTCTTTTTTCTTCTGAATTGTTAAAGGAATTTATTTTAAATCTCACAGTGAAAGTATTAAAGCGATACCATAATCCCTGTGCTAAAAAAGATGTAATTTTTTTCTTTTCAATTTCCAGATGCACCATTTAGTGATGAAGTTGACCTCACATTGCCGAAAAACCTGGTTCCTGACTCGGCACGTGCCAGAGTCACATTGACTGGTAAGACTCCTTAATTTTCACCAATGTATTTAGAGCTAGAGATATTAACTTTTTTGTTAATAAAAGTCTCACAGACCAACAGTCTCGCCTATGTTATGTTGTAATACCCCGTCCCTCACACACACACACACTCTCTCTCTCTCTCTCTCTCTCTCTCTCTCTCTCTCTCTCTCTCACTCTCTCACACACACACACACAC